GTAAGTAATGTAGAGTACAGGGGTCAGTAGTAAGTAACAGGGTGCAGTGAGTGGTCAGCAGTAAGTAACAGAGCGCAGGGGTCAGTAGTAAGTCATATGGAGTGCAGGGGTCAGTGGTAAGTAACGTAGAGTGCAGGGGTCAGTAGCAAGTAACGTAGAGTGCAGGGGTCAGTAGCAAGTAACGTAGAGTGCAGGGGTCAGTAGCAAGTAACAGAGTGCAGGGGTCATTAGTATTGCAGAGTGCATGGGTCAGTAGTAAGTAACAGAGTGCAGGGGTCAGTAGTAAGTAACGTAGAGTGCAGGCGCCATTAATAATGCAGAGTGCAGTGGCCAGAAGTAACAGAGTTCAGGGGTCAGTAGTAAGTAACAGAGTTCAGGGGTCAGAAGTAACAGAGTTCAGGGGTCAGTAGTAAGTAACAGAGTTCAGAGGTCAGTAGTAAGTAACAGAGTTCAGAGGTCAGTAGTAAGGTAGAGTGCCGGGGTCAGTTGTAAGTAACGTTGAGTCCAGGAGTTGCCCACCTCTGGTCTATGGCTTACTCTGCCTTTTGCTTTCATGAATGGCCTCGGTGGTGGGTGGCACCTGTCTGCCCTGCTTTGAATGGCAATGACAGGAGGAGTCACGGTCAAACACTCTTGCCCAACCTGTCAGCCAAAGCTGCTGGTGACGCAGGCAGCTAGGAGCCTTACGGGCAGGTAACAGTATTCTACAGTGGCTCCTCCTGTCACTGCCATTCATGGCAGAGCAGAATGGTCCTGCCCACCCCTGGGTCGTTTGCATCAGAGAAAGAGCAAGGCGGTCACATGACCTGCGACAAAAGCAAGTTTTTTTTAATGCATTTCTCTCTAATCTGATTTAGAAGGAGATTCACAAGCTAGATTTGTGAAAAAAAACTATTTAGGTTTACAACCGCTTCATGGCAGATCTCTATCCTTTCAGTAAAACGCCTCCCACTGCCCACAAACCGCACATATAGATACGATCCTTTATAACCCAAGGGTCCCCTGGCTGGCCCAGTCATGTCCCAGGTCATTCTTCTTTTACATTAGGTGGTGGCAGTGAGCGATACTTGTTCCTGCACTGAATGGAGCTCACATACTTGTGGGCGAGTACTGTTCCATGCAGTAATACTCCAAGCCCCTGTTCCCCCTAACAGGTAAGTCCATGATAGCCTGAGCTCCTCACAGGAGACTGGCGACATCTACTGGTGGAAGGGAGTTATTGCATGGGACAGCTCCAGGATTAAGATCAGTATTACAGCAAAAGTGTTTGGGTTTTTTTGCTTGGCTTTTTTTTTTTACTGGAGTTCTGCTTTAAAGGAGAACTATGAGGTGAGTGAAAATCACCCATCCTCATGGTTCGAGCCGACCTGTGACAATGAAACTTTCACTCGTCGGCTCAATAGATGGGGAAGTGAGCGAATATATACCGTCGCTCGCTCACTTCTGCATCCTGTCCCTGCAGAGAGCTGTGACTGTCACTCACGGCTCCCTGCAGGGATTCCCCCCTCCCCTGTCCGATCTTCCAGCTTTGACTGGCGGAACGGACGGGGGAGGGTACAGCTGGGCGGATCTCGACAATAATGTCGGGATCCGCCCCGGCTGCGGCGGTCTCAGTATACCGCGTGCTGTAGCACGCTATATACTGAGCTTTGGGTCACGGGAGGACGCTAGTTTGTGTCCTCCCGTTACCCATAGGAGAACTATGGGGGAAAACACTGACCCCATAGTTCTCCTTTAAGCTAAACCTAACTCCCAACACTTGTAGTCTTCAGAATAAATGAATGCCATCTTGCTGATACTTGTAGTGCTTACACTATGCACCCAAAATTACGAGTCAATAAATGTTTTGGCGTCTATACAGAACCTGCTCATTTATCAGTGGGAGGCATCATTGTCACAACTTACCCCCAACAGCACACGGGTCCCCAGGTTGTTGAGGTTTTGAATAATGTTGCTGTCGCTCTGAATATTGGCGTGCTGGACGAGTTTGGCTAAATTCTCTTCTGTTATACCTGCGTGATAAAAGAATTGGAGATCAGCCAATAGATCTGCAAAACGCGTGAACAAGATCCTTCCCAACTGTAATCTTCCTCAACAAACAGGCCGATTTGTCCTTTTTTTTTAGACAATAACTTAGCCACGCCCCATTTAAAAAGGAAGAAATGTTTGAGGAAAAAACTTAGAAAAATGTCATAAAATAATAAACTTATTCTACATTTTTAGTTGCGGCGAGAAACTTGGCATTCACAATTTGTTTTTTTCTTAAGGGGTTCAGAGGGTCACCCTGTATTTCTGGTTGGCTGGTGTTGGTCCTGGAGTTATGGTCATGCTGGCTAGGCTTGGCTTGTGAGAGCAGTTTACATTTTGGTCTGTGCAGGAGTCACTAACACAGATGTCAGAGGTTAGAAGTATGTAGAGCTGCAGCTAACGATTATTTTCAAAATCGATTAGTTAGCCGATTATTAAGTTCGATTAAATCGGTTAATCGGATAAACAATAAAATACATTTTAAAAAGTATGTAATGCAGAGTGTAGGGGTCAGGAGCAAAGCAGAGTTCAGAGGTCAGTGTTAAGCAATTTAGAGTTAGGAGGTCAGTAGCATGTAATGCAGAGTGGTGCAGGGGTCAGGAGTAAGTAATACAAAGTTCAGATGTCAGGAGTAAGTAAAGCAGATTGCAGGGGTAAGTAGTAACGCAGAATGCAGAGGTCGGTATTATGTACCACAGTGGTCCAGGAGTTAGCAGTAAGTAACTCAGAGCGCACGGGTCAATAGTAACGCAGAGCCCAGGGGTCAATAGTAACGCAGGGGGCAATAGTAACGCAGAGCGCATGGGTCAGTAGTAACGCAGAGTGCAGGGGTTAGTGGTAACGCAGAGGTCAGTGGTAACGCAGAGTGCATGGGGTCAGTAGTAACACAGAGTGCAGGGGTCAGTAGTAACGCAGAGTGCAGGGGTCAGTAGTAACGCAGAGTGCAGGGGTCAGTAGTAACGCAGAGTGCAGGGGTCAGTAGTAACGCAGAATGCGGGGGTCAGTAGTAACGCAGAGTGCAGGGGTCAGTAGTAACGCAGAATGCAGGGGTCAGTAGTAACGCAGAGGGCAGGGGTCAGTAGTAACGCAGAGGTCAGTAGTAACGCAGAGGTCAGTAGTAACGCAGAGGTCAGTAGTAACGCAGAGGTCAGTAGTAAGGCAGAGGTCAGTAGTAAGGCAGAGGTCAGTAGTAACGCAGAGGGCAGGGGTCAGTAGTAACGCAGAGGGCAGGGGTCAGTAGTAACGCAGAGGGCAGGGGTCAGTAGTAACGCAGAGTGCAGGGGTCAGTATTAACGCAGAGTGCAGGGGTCAGGCATAAGTAATCAAGAGTGCAAGGGTCAGAATTTAGAAACAGAGTTAAGAGGTCAGTAGTAATACAGAAAGCAGAGGTCAATAGTAAGTAACGTTGATTGCAGTGGTCAGTAGTAGTAAGTAACGCAGAGTGAAGGGGTCACTTGTAGGTAACGAGGCATTTAGAGGTCAGTGGCATGCAAAGCAGACTGCAGGGGTCAGAAAAGTTTGTTAACACAATTGTTAATTTTCCATACCAACGGCCATGAGAAATCAGCAACAATGGTTACCAGGCATCTTCCATATTTGCAGCTGGACTGACACTGCCATCTATCGATCGCTATAGGTACTGCAGGAGGCGGCACTAGGGGAGTTCTGTGCACAGATCTAGTGACTACTATAGGTACTGCAGCAGGCGGCACTAGGGGAGTTCTGTGCACAGATCTAGCAGCTGCTAGAGGAACTGCAGGAGGCGGCACTAGGGGAGTTCTGTGCACAGATCTAGTGACTGCTATAGGTACTGCAGGAGGAGGCACTAGGGGAGTTCTGTGCATAGACACAGCCAGATACCAGGGGTGTCTCAGACGCAGTTGGGACAGCGGGGTTGTGATCTAACTGTAAGATGGCCATGATCAACCGGTCGCTAAAGGCAGACAATGGTATTACCACACAGGTGACTCTTACCATTCTTCAGATATATATACAGCAGGATAATACGGATCTTGTCATAAGGTTTGACGCTTGGATCCAGTAGGACCGGAACAATGATCTTCATTGGGTCCTTCAATTTCTCACCCTCAGCGTCCGTTCCCATTGCCAAGTCCTAAGAGTGAAATATAAGAGGGCAGCATCATGCAGGGGTTCAGCCTGAGAGTTAGACATCAATAGGGTGGCTTAATCTTCAGTAGAAGTCAGCCGGGCGAAACTCAAGTCAGGAATAGAACAATGTGGTTATTAGATATATATTGTTGTGAGCTTGATACATCGGAAATTGGCTTTTATTGATGGTGGTGCTGCACATTTGGAAAGTAGACCAACCTGTGTTTGATATGCAGCAACCAGGGCACCCTGCCTTACGCTGGAGGAAAGCACACACGCAGGATGTATATACTGTATCCTGCACTCTGCTGCCTTCAGCCATCTTTTGAAGAGAAACTTCCACCTCTCAAAAAAATTCCGGTCTATGTGCCCTTTACCGTTGGTGTTCTTTTTATGCTGTTTTATGGTTCGCTTCTTTTGCACCACCCTGTGACATGTCCCGTCCAGCATTGCTATCTCTTCCTGGTTCTTGCAACTGACCAACCTGACCACCGCCCTCACACCACGATGATGCAGTGACAGATCTTACACATGTGCAGACCTAAATCTGCCATCAAGTCATTTGTCTATGTTGCCATCATGCGAGATATCACAGAATGTTATGAATGATGTATAGAATGCCCGCTATTGCAACTCCCTCCTCATTGGCTGACCTCGACACAGGCTCCTCCCCCCTTCAGTCTATCATGAATGCTGCTGCTAGACTAAGCTTCCAATCGCCCAAAGGGAAAAATTCAAAATATTAACAGTCACCTATAAAGCCATCCACAACTCTGCCCCCGGCTATATCTCAAAAATTGTCTCAAAGTATCACCCTAACCGTCCCCTCCACTCCTCCCCAGACCTCCTGCTTTCCAGCTCCCTAGTAAACGCCTCTCATGCTCACCTCCAGGACTTCTCTAGAGTGTCTCCCATGCTCTGGAACTCCTTACCCCAACCTGTCCGTCTATCTCTCCCTCTGACTGCCTTAGGCGATCCCTAAAGACTCATCTCTTCAGGGAAGCCTATCCCACCTCAACCTAACCGCTCAACCATCACATTCTCAAACAATTCATCCCCACATAGCTACCCCCTCATGTATCACTTGCCCCTCCCTTTTAGATTGTAAGCCCTCACGGGCAGGGCCCTCCTTACCATCTTGTCTTGAATTGTATTGTGATTGTAATGTCTCCCTTACATTCTAAAGTGCTACGCAAACTGTTGGCGCTATATAAATCCTGTATAATAATAATAATAATACAAACCTGCTCCACGGCACACAGCTTCTCTACAGTTCCCTTAAAGTGCTTCATGCAGTCCTCTGCCAGGTTGAGGTGCGTGGAATACTGCACAGGAGGCAAGAAAAAACAGTTACAGATACTGAGACAAAACATAAAGGTTGCATTTCGGGAACAATGGGACATTCCAGTTCCACATCATCACTATTTACATTAGTCTTTCTTTGAACACTTTCCTGCCGCCGGCCCTCTGATGAAACCTAAATGCAAAGTGGTTTCTGTCCTTCCCGGTCATGTGATCCCTGCGATTAACTACCTCAGTGATCACACAACAGAGACCAGGCGCTGTCGATGATAGCACGGTCATTTATATTTGGGGGGTGTCGAATGAGTGTGTTCCCAGCACAAAAGAGAGACAGGGGCCGTATGCATACATGTGGCAGCAGTGTTAAAGCCTGCCGCCATGCTGCCACATGTATGCGTGTGACTGGAGTTAACCTCCATTTGAGGACAGCCATCTCATATATCCAGCAGGTGTTGTAACTTGCAAATTGTGCCCTTTTCAGCAGTGAAAGGGTCGCTGAGTAAGTGTAAGACACATTGGAGATAGGCATGTGTTGCTCACAAACGGGAATCAGCCTAGCTCAGACTTTGGCATTTTACAGCCCGCTGGCCACATCCGGCCCTTCGGTTGTCCCTGTCCAGCCCACGGTCCGCACACGGCCTGGTCGCCGACCTGCCCTCGGATATGGCTTGCAGTGGATGCATCGGCCTGGGACGCTGGCGCATCCACTGCAAGCCATAGCGCAGCACAGGCCTCCTCCTCTTTAGTCGTTGGTTGCTAGGACCGCTGGCTTTCCAGCAACCAATGACTTCAGGTGTTCACCTCCTCTGCAGTCATTGTTTGCTAGGACTGCCTGGGCGGTCCGGGCAACCAGTGACCTCAAATGTGTCCCTGACCCCAGTATTACAGGACGATGGAAGAGTATCATCTTCTGTCCTCTTCTGCAGCCTTCTCCCTCTTCCCGGCTCCCTCCTCCGGCCTACTAATAAAGTAGGAAAATAAGGTATGTGGGGACAATACATTAACTACGAAAAAAAAGGGGAACTCTGATGAGGACAATCAATTTAAGGGGACACAGTGATGTGGATAACCGATTACTGGTTGTCCTCATCGGAATACCCTATTACTGTTGGGAACAACCAATGTAAGGGGGGCAACTATTAGTTGCATCCATAGGAGTGCCCCTACATTATTTGCCCCCATTCAGATTTTTTTTGTTGTTAAAGGAGAACTATGAGGTGAGTGCTTTTCACTCACAATGAGACTGTCACAGGTCGGCTCAGTAGATCGGGAGGTGAGCGAACACATACCGGCGTTCCCTCACCTCTCGATCCTGTCACGGCTCTCTGCCGTGACAGGGGAGGGGCTGGATTCCCCCCTCCCCGCCAGCGCTATCTGGCGGAACGGACGGGGGAGGGGGCGGTTACAGCTGGCTCTGCCTCTAGATAGGCAGAGCCAGCTGTCAGTCACGCAGCTGGGCGGATCCCTGCACAATTGTCGGGATCCGCTTCAGCTGCGGCGTCTCAGTATACCGCGAGCTACAGCTATGCTCGCGGTATACTAAGCCTAGGGTGACGGGAGGACGCTAGTTTGTGTCCTCCCGTTACCCTAAGGAGAACTATGGGGAAAAGCCCTGACCCCATAGTTCTCCTTTAAGAATGTATGTGCCTATGCACCTTCACAGTAATGCGTTGGCCCTCTACAACAGTCCCAGTTTTTCATGTGGCCCCTTGAGAAAATCAACTGCCCACCCCTGGTCTAGCTGGTCACTCCTCCCTCTCCAGAAGTGTATGTGTGTGGACATAGATGCCAGAAGCAGGTGTCCAGGCCTGTCTGGCATTATAGACATATACACTGAGTGGCCAGATCATTATGAGCACCCCATCAGTACTTAGTTGGGCCGCCTCGTGACTCCACGAGATGATGAAAGGTGATGCGAGGAATCTGACACGGCACTGTTGCCCTTCCCCTTGCCACTCTCCATTCTGGCCTAACATTGACTAGTCGCTGACGGCCACAATTCGCACGTTCAGACCCAGATTTTCGGCTGACAGTCCGGTCTTTAAACACTTTACAACAGCTGCTCTTGAACATTTAATGAATTCTGCTGTTTTGCTGATACTCGCTCCATGGCTCCGAGCGCCAACAATCATCCCACGTTCAAAGGCTGTTAAATCGCGTTGTTTCCCCGTATCTTCAGAAACAAATCACTTCTACTGTTGTGGTAAACAACCTGCTTCCCTATTTATAATGGTCTGGCCCTCTAGCAACTTCAGCACCAAATTATAGCTAATTTGCCTACAAACGTCAGGTGGTCATAATAAACTGGCTACTCAGTGTATATCAAGGACAAGCATTGTGTAACGGTCATCCTAAAACGTTTCTTTCCTGAGTGGACCGGGTTCCTGGATAACTCCCCGTTTGGAGCTAAATCTCATATACAGACACACACTATACACTATATACTACTCACTTTATTTAACTCCTTCTGATATTGTGGCATCTTTTTCAGAATTTGGGACAGGTCTTTGATGTTTGCCTGAGAAGGGAGAAAAAAAAACAACAAATTGACAGCTGAGGAACTCAATAATAATAATTCACAGTCACACTGCAACTCCAAATGTCAGTTTGGCTTTTATCTAGGAAACTTAAATTAAAAAAAAAAAAAAAATGCAGACAGCACATACAGCCTGCCCATTCAGGTAATGCTGTAGTGTACAGGTCCATCATGCTCATGAAAACCCCCTTCTGACTGTATTCTGGGGACATATCCTAGGGTCCATTGTGAACCAGAGCTAGCCTCTTTTGAGAAAGTCTCTACGACGAAACGCGTAAAAGGAGTGTGCCGTTTCCCCGCTGACACCCTGGAAAGAGGCTAGCTATAAGTTGCTTATGCTGTTGTACCTATGGAAGTCTGTAAGTGCAACCATTTTTAAACTACTCGATAAATAAAACATTTTACATCTGCACTTAAATCCTGTCTTCTCTCCTTCGGTCGGTCTCCCCCTCGGCTTTCTGGTTGATCCCTCCGGAGTGTTCTCCAGCCTTGGAGGTTGTTTGACTATCGCCGATGAGAGGAAGTGTAGCCTGACGGCAGGAGAGGACAGAGAAACTTACAGAGAAGGTTTCCTTTTTCTATTTTGCGGACGCATCAATGGAAGTATAAACAAAAGACACTGGATTTCTAATAACATTCGGTAGAAAATAGACTATTGGTGTTACAACCCTCGCTTATACAATTTTATATTTATCCACCTATATTTATTCACTTTATACTATTAGATGTGGTTTTAGATTTGTTAGATTGGTTATACATCAGTCTTCCTTCAAATTATTGTCCTCTTTATTTATTGTTGCCGATTGCCAGACTGATTAATTTACCTGGTTTATAATTCAACCATTTGGTATCCACATTGTATTTTCACTATATGGCACACATATGCATTATTCATTAACTTATTTAATTTATCATATTTAATCTCTCAGTTTTATATTCGTACTTTCACCATATTTATATGACACGTGTATTTATTAACGTCCATGCACATATGCACTTTTGGATTGCATTTAGTTGCAAGTAGGCTTTGATCACTTATATTGGTTTTATTTGTGGTATAAATATAGCACGTATTGCAATACCAAGCGCAGCACACTGGTTCACAATTGATCACTTCGATAGATATTGCTGCAGCTGGATTATAATCTTTTGGATTACATTTTTTGATACTTTGATATTTTTGATACCATTATATCTTTTCCTATTTTTTCTGTATTTTGGTTTTTGATTTTTTCATATATCCTAGCGCAACTACCTTGCTCACCATATCCTAGGGTCCAGTTTCAATCTATACTGAAAATTCCTTCTCCGGCTTAGTCCAAACACCCCCCTATATCCCTGGCACTCTCGTCGAACTCTTAAAGTGTCAGAATAATATTCACTGTATCTTCTCAGGTCTTTCAGCAGACTTCTCTGAGTCCTCACTGGCTGTCTGACCCACTGATCACCTCCCTGGCTGCCTGATGGCTACTCAACTTTCCCTTCACTTTTCTATTGGTTGCTCGGTCCTGCACTCACTTCCCAAACCCCGTATTTGCTGCTTAGTCCTGCGCTCGCTACCTCATTTGCTGCTCGGTCCTGCACTCGTTACCTCATTTGCTGCTCGGTCCTGCGCTTACTACCTCATTTGCTGCTCGGTCCTGCACTCGTTACCTCATTTGCTGCTCGGTCCTGCACTCACTAGCTCATTTGCTGCTCGGTCCTGCGCTCACTAGCTCATTTGCTGCTCGGTCCTGCACTCGTTACCTCATTTGCTGCTTGGTCCTGCACTCGTTACCTCATTTGCTGCTTGGTCCTGCACTCGTTACCTCATTTGCTGCTCGGTCCTGCGCTCACTACCTCATTTGCTGCTCGGTCCTGCGCACGCTACCTCATTTCCTGCTCGGTCCTGCGCTCGCTACCTCATTTGCTGCTCGGTCCTGTGCTCGCTACCTCATTTGCTGCTCGGTCCTGCGCTAGCTACCTTATTTGCTGCTCGGTCCTGCACTCGCTACCTCATTTGCTGCTCAGTCCTGCACACGCTACCTCATTTGCTGCTTGGAGCTCACTTTCCAAGCTTCTCCATTGGCTGTTTAGGTTTGCATTCACTTCCTTATTGGCTGCAAGGTTCTGAACTCACTTCCCCCAGCTTCCCTGCTGGAATGCCCATCCTATGCACACTTCCCATCTGTTCACCTGATGTTCCTACATGCTACGCCCCGTCTGCTAACACAAATAAAGATTGTGCAACCTGTTGGACAGAGTTCCAGCTCTGGTACACACAGCCATAAGCTGCTGTACGAGCAGTGGTAGCAGGAAGAGAGAGGTAAAGGATCAGCAAGACGCAGAATGAAGTTATATATACATACAGCCTGGAGCTGCTCTTTATAAACCCACCAATATGGAATGTTTGGCTCAGGTCACATTCACTGCTTTATCAATAGACCCCTCAGAGTTTCGTCTGAATAGATGTGTTTAACGATTCCTAGCTACCCAACCACAAGATGATTTATCTTCCTTGGCAGCAGACCAACCAATGTCACATGCCTCTTGTTCTATTTTCCATTGAAATCTATGGAAAATTCAGCATGGGCCCCGCACTACTGCTGGACAGAGAACTACCCACCTTGTCCGTTGTCATTCTTTTACTCTCGCAGAAAGACTTCAGCAGCTCTGTGACTTTCCTGCCATAGAGAAGACACATAATCAGAAGAAGAGGAGCAGAGAATACGAGGTACATGAGATTACCGGGGACACTGAGCTGCTTACTTGGACACGTCTGCAATGTGCATGTGACGGAGCTCCATCCAGAGGTCATCATCTTCATCCAGGCGGACCTGCTTTTCCCGGGACTCTCCAATGCCTGTGGTCTCATAGCTGGAAGTAGAATAAGTAACTGGATTTATCAGACATAACATGCTAATACATTCCCTGTGAAAAGGGAGAAAATGGGCCTAATGAGTGAATCACACATGAGCCTCAAACAGCTTCGATTCTCCTGTACACATTCTGGAGGCTTGTCTGCTTTCTTATTTCTCCACATGGGTCCAGGGCCAAGCCAGGCAAAGCAGCAACTTAAAGGGCAACTTCAAACAAACAACTAAACATAGTCAAAGCACGTCTGAGCCCCCAAAATTTTTTATAAAAATAATATATTACAGCTCACAAGTCCTTAGATGTGGCGATTGCATTAGTTTTCTTTTTTTTCAGACCTTTTTGCTTTTATTTCTCCCTGGTGATCCTGCCAGTAACACACATCCTTATCCTAGGGAAACAGCTGTTACTCAGGGGTGTGCGATTCCTATCTCCCAACGCCTGACATGCAGTTCCGTTTGCTGGGTAAGGCCTTGTTCACAACAAATGCAGGGCAGATCTGCAGATGACGCGTTTTTGACGCGTTCCAGATCGTTTTTTTTTCAGGAAGCCAACAATGTTATGAGGTCACTTCCTTTTACCTCTGACCTTTCATTAGCTGTTCTGATCATTTCCTGCTTCCTCTGACCTTGTCTCACATGTAAAATTGTTGCAACATGGATCCATGGGATGCAGGCATGCTCCTGGTGATGGTTATTATACTGCTACGCCAAAGTGGTGTAAGGAGACGTCGTTTTTGGGTGCACCCACTGATGAGTGAAAGAGATCCAAAAGGGCCTGTTTGGGACTCTATATATCTCTCTGGGTCTACAAAATCTGTCCACCATTGTTCCTTTGCTCTCCAGATCAAAAGGTCACCTTTTTCAACAAGCAGGAAGTCACCAAGAAAGATTAGGTCATGACAGATGACCATAGAGTTTTTTTTCCTTTATGGCTAGTTTTTTTCATTGCTTTGCATTGCGTTTTTGATGCGTTCCCGAGCAGGTTGCTGCAGTCTTTTCACCTGCTCTGGATCTGCTCTGGAACTGCACGCTGCGATGTGAACTGGAGCAAAAAATACCATTGGAATACATTGGACGCAGTTTTGATCCGGTCTGCAACTGATCTGCTCCGCGCTTGGTGTGAACAAGGCCTAAGTGTTATTGTTTCTCTACATTTAGCCCTACTGCGGGCAAGCAGAACTAAATGTAGAGAAGGGAAGCCACCGCTCATTTTGTACAAGTGATATGGGTGGCCATAGAGATCACCTGTAGCAGCCTGCTTGTCTCCGCCCCTCAACGTGCCCGCCATGGTTTTTGGGGTCCCCCCCCCAGGGCCACGGCAAATTACTTCAGAATGGAGAGCGGGGAGCAGGATGCTATGCTCGATCTTCTGCATTGGAGGGCAGGCTTCATAAAGATAACCTGTCACCTCCAAACGCTATGACATAGGGGCTTGTAAGACCCTGTGTGATAGCAATAAAGTGGAAAAAAAATGAAAAATAGTAAAAAAAGAAAAAATGAAAAAAAAAAAAAAAAAAAGAAAAAAAAAAAAAAAAAAGGATAAAAAAAAAAGTATAAAATAATAAATACTTAAAACCAACCCTGCCATCTGCATGCAAATGGCATTGTGTGTGCCCACATTCCATTGTGTGCCATATTGTGGTAGCCGTGCAGCACCGCTCTCTAACACGCATAATGAGCATTAAAGAGTAAGTTCGCTTTCCCAAGTAATGTGGGAAAATGGAATTACCCGCTGAAATCTGGCCTTCTCCCCCCCATTTCGGCGAATAGTCTTTCCCCATCCGCCGGTACAGGTGTACTATCTCTACCCTGTACTGCTGTCCAGCGCAGCCCTGCAATATGGATTTTGAATTTCGCTAGCCCTTATTGGTCAGCATGGTCACCTTGACCGCACTGACCAATAAGAAGCTCTTCTGAGCAAGGTTCAATACGGTTTTGGTTAAGATTATTTTTTGTATCACAAGTAGATTGTCATGAGGGACAAGTAGATTGGGCCCCCGCTTTAGTCCTTGGACAGGTAGATTGTCATGAGGGACAAGTAGATTGGGCCCTCGCTTTAGTCCTTGGACAGGTAGATTGTCATGAGGCACAAGTAGATTGGGCCCCCGCTTTAGTCCTTGGACAGGTAGATTGTCATGAGGGACAAGTAGATTGGGCCCCCGCTTTAGTCCTTGGACAAGTAGTTTTTTTTTACATTTCCACACCCCTGTTACTCACTGTACTGTATCTATTGTCACCCTAGGACAGGACTACAGAGACCTCTCCCTCTCTTGTTCTCCAAAACATAGAAGGGGGGGGGGGGTTCTGTAGACCTCAGAGATGATTGTAAATGATGTAACCGATAACCCTGCAGCACAGGCAGGGAGTGCAGGAAGTTATCAGCTGACAAGGTTTCTGGCAGGATTGACAGGTTATTGTTTGCACTTGTTGAACAGATATAACAAAACACTTTCAATAATATATTTAACAGACCAAAAGGGTACCAATAGGAGACGTTCCTTGTTAGGATTTATCCCTTTAAACACATTTTTCTAGGAATGGTCTATAAAGTAATGCCCATACTCTTTATTATTCACCCGCCCTTGCAGTGCTATAGGACTGCATGGCATAAGGGGATGAAAACCTACTTGTATATGTCTTGCTTGATGTCTAGCAGATCATAAGCCATGGCCTGAAAGGTGAGCTCATGCAGGAGGGGAGACACGGGGTCATATCCACGATCCACAATGAGGAGCTGGGAGCGGGACTTGTCTGGGCCCTGGCGTGCGAGAGAAGCGGGTGAGAACACAGGGAAGGGAAAAGCATTCAGGAAGGATATGAAGGACGACAGCAAAGCCTCATACCCAGAATCCTCTGACAACTCTTCCTGAGCCATCTGAAAACTTTATGTTTAGTGTCCCTGAGCTTAGAGACTGTGTGACACTGATGCACTGCTCTCCGAATCCATCTCAGATATAGTTCTGGTACTCACCATAGAGGATAACCATCACTGTAGATCAGCCTGGTATTCACCATAGAGGATAACCATCACTGTAGATCAGCCTGGTATTCACCATAGAGGATAACCATCACTGTAGATCAGCCTTTCTCAACCAGGGCTCAGTGGAACCCTAGTGTTGATAAGAAGTTGCTAGGGGCTCCTTGAGCAGTGAGCAATTTCTGCCTCTTAGACAAGTTCTCACTGACACCAATTATATTTTCAGCTATCTGTAAGTGGGAATTTCTTCCCACTGACCACCAATAGAAAAGGGGAAAAATTACCAGTGACCATCCAGGCCTTCTCCCACTGCCACCAATCAAAAGGGACCCTTCTCTGCTGACCACCAGCACTACCATGACCACAAAATTTAAGAGGGCACTAAGATAACCCCAAATTTAGAGGAGCACTACATTGACCACCAATGCAAGGGGTCACTATGATGACCACCAATGCCAGGGGGCACTACGATGACCACCAATGCAAGGGGGCACTACGATGACCACCAATGCAAGGGGGCACTACGATGACCACCAATGCAAGGGGGCACTACGATGACCACCAATGCAAGGGGGCACTACGATGACCACCAATGCAAGGGGGCACTACGATGACCACCAATGCAAGGGGGCACTACGATGACCACCAATGCAAGGGGGCACTACGATGACCACCAATGCAAGGGGGCACTACGATGACCACCAATGCAAGGGGGCACTACGATGACCACCAATGCCAGGGGGCACTACGATGACCACCAATGCCAGGGGGCACTACGATGACCACCAATGCCAGGGGGCACTACGATGACCACCAATGCAAGGGGGCACTACGATGACCACCAATGCAAGGGGGCACTACGATGACCACCAATGCAAGGGGGCACTACGATGACCACCAATGCAGTACTCACCATAGAGGATAACCATCACTGTAGATCAGCCTGGTATTCACCATAGAGGATAACCATCACTGTAGATCAGCCTGGTATTCACCATAGAGGATAACCATCACTGTAGATCAGCCTTTCTCAACCAGGGCTCAGTGGAACCCTAGTGTTGATAAGAAGTTGCTAGGGGCTCCTTGAGCAGTGAGCAATTTCTGCCTCTTAGACAAGTTCTCACTGACACCAATTATATTTTCAGCTATCTGTAAGTGGGAATTTCTTCCCACTGACCACCAATAGAAAAGGGGAAAAATTACCAGTGACCATCCAGGCCTTCTCCCACTGCCACCAATCAAAAGGGACCCTTCTCTGCTGACCACCAGCACTACCATGACCACAAAATTTAAGAGGGCACTAAGATAACCCCAAATTTAGAGGAGCACTACATTGACCACCAATGCAAGGGGTCACTATGATGACCACCAATGCCAGGGGGCACTACGATGACCACCAATGCAAGGGGGCACTACGATGACCACCAATGCAAGGGGGCACTACGATGACCACCAATGCCAGGGGGCACTACGATGACCACCAATGCAAGGGGCCACTACATTTACCACCAATCTAATGTGGTACCACAATTGACACAAATGTACGGGGCCCTACACTGACCACCAATTTAATGTGGAACCACAATTGGCGCCAATGTTAGAAGACACTACACAGACCAGCAATGCAAGGAGGCACTATGATGACCACCAAGGTAAAAGGAAACTACACTGACCAGAAATCTAATGGGGTACCACAATGACCACCAATGTAAGGGGGCTCTACATTGACCACCAATTTAACGTGGACCCACAATTAACACCAATGTAATGGTGCACAACATTGACCACCGATGTAATGGGTGCACCACATTCCTTATTCTTTTATTCATTTTTATATCCACAACTTTCTGCTCACACTAATGCCCCCGTGAGCTCTAGATAGAATCATCAGCAGGAGTTCCCTGAGATCTGGAAGTTATTTCGAGGCTTGAGAAAGGCTGCTATAGCCAGACACCGAGACACGCTGCATCCAGGAGACATGCCCACACAGCCCCCGTGGCAGAGGAAACAACAGGAGAGGAAAGGGATGAAGGACATAGACAGAGGTGAACATACAGGAGGAGTCAGACATTTTATTATACAATTATGCATTCATAACTTGTTTAAAGAAGAACTCTACCATGAACAGAGCACAGTTACAACTTGTCCCCATTCCAGATAATGCCACTATAATAGTCCATCTTTCCATTCCTGGACCCTTACTGACTTATGGGAATGCAAAGTTAAGAGAAATGACATTGCATATCAAGGCAAGTGGAAGAAATGGTGGATAGACCACCATGTGAATGTTACGGTTAACAGGAGAGTGTGCAAATCAGACAGCCTTGCTTAAAGGGGCAATGGCACAGTAAATGCATGATTACCTAGCAAAAAGAGTCAAATGATACACACTTACCAGGATGTACATATGTTTTATACAGTGCTGTGCTACATTATAGGTGCACTGAAGTGACTCAGTAGGAACAGGCTGCATGGAATCTGATTCTATAATATCTCACAGACACTAATAACCACAGCACTGATGGCTTCTTTCTGTGCGACTCCTTTCCATGGACTGCGGTGTCTTTTCTTTTTCAGCCTCCCCCATTCTGTTTCCTATGACTGTATTACCATTGAGGTTAAGATTATCAAGATACAAGGCAACTGATTGTCGAGTGTGCAGAACGGTCACAATTGCAGCCCTTTTCTATTTCTCAGACAGAAACAGACCTCCGGGTCACAATCAGGTTCAGGGCTTCTGTGCATATCAAAGCCTCTTCCATTTGAACCTAGCGCTGCTCAGACCCATACATTCAAATGCAAATTCAGCGTTTAAAAGGAGAACTATGAGGGGAGTGCTTTTCACTCCCCTCATAGTTCTAGCCGACCTGTGACAATGAGACTGAGTAGATCGGGAGGTGAGCGAACACATACCGCCGTTCGCTCACCTCTCGATCCTGCCACGGCTCTCTGCCGTGACAGGGGAGGGGCTGGATTCCCCCGCTCCGATCCGCCAGCGCTGACTGGTGGATCGGACGAGGGAGGGGGCGGGTACAGCTGGCTCTGCCTCTAGATAGGCAGAGCCAGCTGTCAGTCAGGCAGCTGGGCGGATCCCGGCACAATTGTTGGGATCCGCTTCAGCTGCGGCGTCTCAGTATACTGCGAGCTGTAGCCTGCTATATACTGAGCTTAGGGTGACGGGAGGATGCTAGTTTGTGTCCTCCCGTTACCCTAAGGAGAACTATGGGGAAAATCCTTAACCCCATAGTACTCCTTTAAGAGTGTTTCTAATTTGACCCACTACATGTAAAAGATGTTTTTAGTAGAGTTCCTCTTTAAGTGACAGGTGAACAGCCTTTAGCCATTGTCAGAACGGTTACAGTTCCCCTTGCATGCTAAAGTCATGCAGCAACATCTCACCTCTCCCATGCTGGGGTTATCAGCTTTGAATGCGTTCAGCCGGTCCTGCACCATGTGAGCGAAGATGGAGTTGTCTGCGTAGCCACTGCCAAAGAGAGAACAATTATTATGTTATTATACGAGTTATCACATGGCCCCACTTACATTTTCTATTGTATCTTCAATCACTTTCTGCACTTTATCTTCCTTGACGCAACTGATCCTTCTTTAACCGCTTGAAGCGGTTTAGACTGAAGTGTTTAGACCCCCTTCCTGGCCAGGCCATTTTTCAGTATTCAGGGCTGCGGTACTTTGACTGACATTTATTCCGTCATGCAACGCTGTACTGAAATGAATTTTATACCATTTTTGGGGACAGATAGAGCTTTCTTTTGGTGGTATTTATTCACCACGGGGGTTTTTATTTTTTACTATAATTAGGAAAAATTACTGAAAATTTTGAAAAAAAAACGTTTTTTCTTGCATTGTTAGGAAACATTTATTATTACCCAGTTTTTTTTTTTTATATAAAAGACGGGGTCACTTTGGATAAATAGACACCAAACATGTCAAGCTTTAAAATTGCGCGTGCCCACGAAATCGCAGAAAACTACCATAAGCGACTAATTAAAAGCATCAGTTTAGTGTTATCAGTGATTGATGGCCCTGAAATGATTGCTCTCACTCCGACGTTCGCGGCGATATGCAACATGTGCGGCGTAATGGATAGTTAATTTTGCCTTCTCTGACTTTTTTTTTTCCTGCTGTGGCCATTACTAGCCCGGTACAATCCCTCCCCCCCCGACTACATGGATGCATGATGACATGCATATTTGAAAAGGCACCTTCCGGCTGCAATGCGATCTACCACACTACAACGCGCGGTACTGCAAGATCCTGCATGCGGTTGAAAAAAGTAGCGCATGAAGTGCTAGGATCACAGGGCGGTTCTAGCAATCAATGACTGCAGCGGATGAAGACCCCTGACATTATTGGTTGCTAGAACACCAGCAGCCCTTGCAACCAATGACTGAAGAGGACCGTGGTCTGGACACCACGTGCCGGGCTATTGCTTGCAGTAGATGCACCAGCCTCCAAGGCCGGTGCATCCATTGGCAGCCAGACATAACTGATCGCAAGTTGGCAAATCAGTCTGTGTCTGGACCGCAGGCTGGTCAGGGACAGATACGGCCCACGGGCCATGAAATACCCGGGTCTGCTCTATAAACAGAATTTTCCACCCGTCAACATGTCAATACGCGATCTCGAGTTCTATCTGCCAATGGTGCATTACTCTCTTCTTAGTACCAATAACAATTGTGTCTCCACCTCGCCCCTGTGCTACTGACCATTGTCCCCGGCGCAGGAGGTGAGGGGAAATATCTCAATGGAAACACCTGTTCCTGTGACAACTGGCGAAGAGATGATTTACCCTCACATGGGAAAGATTTTCTCTCATTACCGGTTGTGTCTCTGGGACAGGAAGTAAAGATTAATCTCTTTGGCAGAGCTCAAGCAGCAAAATGAACCAGATAGGGGTGTTAACTATTCCCTACTCTATCCAAAACAATAGCTTGTGGCGGACCTTTACCCCTTTTCACTAAAATCACATCAGCATGCAGCTCCTCGTGCCGATATGAAATCACCTTACATTCATTAAACTAATATTTTTTGCTTTTATGTACAATTACTGTTTTTCAACATCCTGGTTGAGGAAGGCACTGGTGATGTAGTCCTGGTCTCATAGATGCATTCTACCAGTGCCCTCCTGGTGTCCTACCAGTCTACCTCACCAGTGCCCTCCTGGGAAATCTTATCTATAAATTAGAAAATCTCAAAAGATCTCAGTGAAAGGCACAACCCCCCCCCCCTCAGATCATGTGCACTGTCCCAGACAAGCAGCCCCAAAGTTCCAGGAAGCAAAGGGAGATGGATTCATCAGTCCTTAGAGAAAAGGAAGAATAAAAAGGCCGGCCACTATCTATAGGTATCTGTTTATAGATTGCCATTACTAAAGGTGTCTTTGTTGTTATTTTAAGATAAGGGTGACGTTCTTCTTTAACACAAAATTGTAAGTGTCATTAAAACCAAAATAATCAAAATGATTATGACAGCCACACTTACATGTGACCTCATATGCTCATTCATTTTGTTTACAGAGTCTTCCTTTCAGCACAGGACCTAAGACCTCCATTTTTGCTGTGGCTCCAATCCCTAGTGGGGTCTATATGGAGCCACAGCAGTGTGTATGCCGCCGCCGCCCCCCCCCCCAGGGCCACACA